AAGTGTAACAGGTCGTATCAAAGTAGTTGAGATGTTACTATCAGAAGGAGCTAATGTTGAGGTTGAGGATACTGATGGTTGGTCACCAATATTTCATGCTGCTGCAGGAGGTCGACTGGATGTGATCAGACTTTTACTAAAACATGGAGCCAAAATCAAGAAAGATAAATTTGGCAAAACAATTGAAAGCATAGCAGCACAATCCAAAAGAATTAAAATTAAAGATCTACTTCAAGAGGCAACCAAACAGAAAGATGAGGTAACAGACAGCAGGGAAGAGGAAAGGAAAGATGAACCCAGTGTAGATGAAGAAGTATTAAGAACTGCTCTTACTACACCAGTTGAAGTAGACACAGAATCATTAGGTGAAACAACCAAACCATCTCCACTCATCAATGAAGACAATCAACAATCAACTGATAATAGTTACTCTCGCCATCAAAACTTCCTCTCCTTCATATCATCAAGTATTGGATCAATAAAACAACAATATGATAACACAATAAAGCGACTTGAACACCAAATGGAAGCAATGCAATCCAGAATAGCAAAACAACAAAATTTTTTTCTATAAACTAATACCCCTCCATTTACACTATTCACTATTTTTGTAATTTTCTTTTCAGTGTATTTCCATTACAGCTACTATTATAATTTTTATGTTCATACTAGCCAATAAATTATTATTTTACTAAAAAACTGATTTTCTAACAAGTCACACGATACAAATAAAAAGGAAGAGGAGGAGGAGATATAAAGAGAATGAAGTAAAATAATCCAATGTCATATAAAGGACCTGTAGGTAGCCATCACTAGTGTATAATACCATTCACTGCAGTCCACTGCTGGGGAGGAGGGCGTGGGCCCTTGGGCTTACCAACACGAACACCAAAACCTAAAAACAAAAAGCAATAATAAAAAAATCAATTAGTTAATTAATAATAATGTGTACCATAGTTCCCAGCAAATGAGTATTTATTATTAGCCGACTCAGCAATATTAGACCTTGGAGCTTTCCTTGGTGACTGACACACTACTGCTCTTGCTGCTACTTGGAATGCTGGTATCATCTGAAAACCTCTCCTAGAGGAAGAGAGAGAAAAAAGATAATATATGAGGAGTATGTTTAGGTGTGTCCATACTTTCTTTGGTTTATTAGTTAAGTCAGTGTTCCTCATTGTTGCTACAGAGAAGGCAGTTGATGAAGAAGTTGGTGAAATGTGATGATGAGAAGAAGGCAGTAGGGAAGAAGGAGAAGAAGTACGATTCATTGGTACTGGTGGTAGAGGAGCTAGAGAGAGAGAGAGAGAGGGGGGGGAGAGGTAAATTAACAAAAAAGGTTAACAATCTAGTATACATGTAAATAAAAATGTGAATTAAATTATGTTTGAACCAGGGGTGTAGCTGGATAGGGAGGCGCAGATTATGCTGGCATAAAAATGAGCATAATAACTAGGTAGAAGAATACAAGAATTATGCTAGCATAATTGGAAAATATCCGGAAATTACTAGCATAAAAGGCAAAATATCTCATTGAGATGTCTGAATTGTTTTTTAGCTGTAGTCTTTTTGAATTTTAAAATTACCCTTGGAGATCAAGAAAATTTTCTTGAGTTTTTACTTCTACTGCACCTTCAGACCATGCATTAATACATCAATTAATTAATTTTTGCTATGATAATGTATATTTTTGGTTGGTTTTTAAGCATAATTGAGAGCATAATGTACTATTTTTGAAGAATAATCATGACATTTTATGAGCAATGCTGCATCAAATAATTTAAGCATTAGTGAGCATAATCTGCATGAGCCTATAGCTGGACCTTGGGTGACGGCGGGGCAAGGAGAAAAAATGGCGCACAATGCACGCCGTTAGATATATTGGCCACACCTCTTTTACGTAACAAAATTGAGGCATTTTCCTGCAAGCTGAGTGAAATCAGAGTGAAAGTATCATTGTATATAGCTATAGAAAGAGCTGTGGTTATCAGCCATCTCCTTTTGTTATTGTAGGAACAATGAATATAATCTTTTGGGTTATCATTGCAAAGAGTATAATAAGGCCACTTTGATGGTAGGGCCCAGGCCCCTCAAGCCCTACTTCAGCTACGCCACTGGTTTGAACTGTGAATATACATTACACAATAACATGTTTGTGTACATCATAGTTTATACATGCATGTGAACTGTGAAATTAATAATAATAATCATGTGATAGCAATTATATTAATGATAATTACATGTACATGTACACATACTTGGCATCTTATGTAACCTGACAGTCTGGAAGAAGCTCAAATACAATAAATACATAAATCAATAAAATAATAACTAATTACTAGTGTTAGTGGGTGTGGTTGGTTGAGATGAAATTCCATAGATATTTACTCTATTAGATCTATGTAGTATAGATTGTTTACCACACCCAAAAATTACAATGTCACTGTCTACATTAAGAAAAGAAGGGGAAAAGTCACTCACATTACCGGATCTTCTGGCTGGTCTAAGCGATTTAGTAGAGTGGGAAACATTTGGTAGTTA